GAGACGCTCAGTTTGACTGTAAGCTCGCTGAAATTGGTGTTCGGATGCTTCCAGATTTAATTTTTGAAAATTTCCAACTCTATTTTTTCTCAAGATTCGTGCTGGATCAAGCATATTTTTTGATAACGTATCACTAACATATATAAATTTTGTATATTTCTTTCAATTACATATTATTATTCTTTTAATTTTATATTAAATTTTCTGGAAATGAAATCCTCCTTACCCTTCAATATGATTGGATCATATATTGACATTAGAAATAATAAAATTTATCTTAAATGATAATTTTTTAAAAATATAATATTATTTAATTTTCTCCCAATATCTTAAATCTCCAAATTATTAATCTGGCCTACAGAGCCATTATTATTTTCTACTTCCCTCCCACAAATTTCAAACAAATTCAGGGCAAATTTGTAACCCGCCAATTCAAACATTTTAATTATAATTATATTATTCTTATTATTATAAACAACCATCTATTTTTTTGCGAAGCTGGAGCGAGGAGCCGGGAGTCAAAGAGACAATCACGCACACGTGGTCCTCGAGATTCGCGTTGATCAATGTGATCCTATTCCCATCGTCGATCCAATTCTCCACGACTTTTAAAGCTCGCGCTGTCTTCATGTCCGATCATCCGGACGTTTCCATAGAAATTCAAAACGAACCCTGTGAGACAATAAATCCGTTTCGTTTATTCATTATTATATTAACCCTTTTTTTCTCTCACTGTCCTCTCTCGCTCTCCCTCATCAAAATCTCGAAGTTCAAAACCCTGGAATCGCAGCTAGAAGAACTCAGCTCGAATCAGCTTGCGCTTGTCACGGGCGGACGATTTGCTCAGAAGGCGCGTTCTCTGGATCGAAGCGTAGCCTTTTTTGGCTTCTGAAATTGTTTATGGTAAGTTTTTTGCTATCGAACTTGTTTTTTTGCTATTTTTGATAAGTACCCTATTGATCTATTCTCGCTGCTCGTGTTGCTAGTTTTTGCGTGTTTTGCAGCCTGGTTTGAGTTTTGTTTGGATGATAGTTGAGTTAAATGGATGACTATTTGAGTTACCTGCTTCTACTTTGATTTATGATTCTTTTTAAGTAGCATTGTGATGCATTTTTTGTAGAGGTTAATCAGGTATTCTGTTTGAGGTGGATATTTTCTGATTAAGGCGAATCGTGAGTAAGTTTTGTGGTATCATTTGTTGGGAAATGGATTGTACATGATGGACTGGTAAGGTGGTTTTAAATTCTAAGATTCATCTTGGTTTAACTGGTGTAATCAAGAGAAGTGGCCTTAGGGTTGTTTGGAACTTCATGCTCCCTAATACTTTGTGAAGCAAGTTATTTCCCAATCAAACTGTTGGCTAGTTATTTATCTTGCATGCAGCGTACTAGTATTTTGTTTTCTGTCTCCAGTATCCGATGATAATCATCATATGACTGTTTTACTTGATGTGTGTTTTCGGGACCATTCTTGGAAGCACTTCATGTATTGAACTGACCAGAACTTGATGTTCTTTGAATATTTACATTGCAAAATTATGAGGAAAGGTTCACTTTGATGTTGTTTTGAAGGGCTGCTCGGTATCCTATTCTTGTGGGATTAATGCAATAGTTTGCTTAACTATTGCTAAGTAGAGTTTAAAGACTTTAAATGTTATTGTTTTGATAAATCCTGTTCTAGTTTTGTTATTCTTAAATCCTACCATTCATAGGGTTAAACTGATCCAAGGATTTCTTCCGCTCATAAACCTTAAATCCCAAAATAAATAGTTATATAGTTGGGGGTTTCAGGATTTAGCTTTGTTTTGCAGTTTTCATTCCAAACAGTTTTGAATTATTTATCCTCTCAAAATTTATTAAATTTGAATTTGCAGATTATTAAATCCTACTTGTAATGAAAGTTCTTTTATGTGTGGCTATAAATTTGTTTTCTATTGGTTTTATTTCTATTGCTCCTAGTGTTCCTCAAGTAAACCTAGCCTGTGGTTTTTGGTAAATTTTATACACTAGAGCATGCTATTTTCTGCTTTTCAAGGCTATTGGGGTTTTGGGGAATAATGTAGTACCACTCTTCAGCCTTATTTGACACTATTCGTGAATTTTAATTGTGTTCTGTTTTGTACTATCTGATGCTCATCACCTACAAGTACCCCCCTCCCAAACAACAAAATGGAACTTTTTTTTTTTGCAAAGTAGATGATGGATAGATCTAACCGGCTAATTTTGTTCTGAACATGTTTGCACTCCAATTTCTGTTTTTGATGACAAATTTCTTGATTCCAATCCTGCTTCCTATGATCATATCACTTTCCTCCTCTAAAGATGGTTCCCACTTCTCTTTTGTAAACTACCATTCTTCCACTGCATGTTGTCTATATTAAAACTTTCCACTTTCATCTTTTTTGTCCGCACTTTTCTTCTTTTCAGCTTCTGTGCGAATAAACAAATTCTAGAACAAAAGTCTATGACAATATTTCTTTTCATTGCTCATATATTATATTATATAATTAATGTATTTTACTTTTTTATTGTATGTCATGTATTTGTATCGTGATTTATGGTTTTTGTGTTTCATTTGTGATTTATGGTTTTTGATTTTCATTTGTAACACTTCACACTGGCCGAAACCCTTACATTTCTGGACCCATGTGGAAGCTACTTGAGAGGTCAATTGGTGAAGCATCAAATTTTTTGATAAAGATATATCGTAAAGCTTTTTATTGGGTTCATGGATTCTAGTTACTATTCTGTGCTTTTCTTATATAATTTTCTGCAGGATAATAAGGTTATTCCTATAGGAGTAGTTTCTTTTACTAAATTGTTTGCTTAATATTGTTGTTTCTACTGATTGCTGTTATTTGTCCACAAAATTTTGGTAGCATCTAACAGTCATATTGTTACTCACTATCTGTAAATTTTGAATAAAATTATAGTTAACTACCTGTACTTCCTCTGTGAAGGCTCTTTTTTTGCTGTCTTATTGTTGTTTTACATGAAATTAAACCACCTTTCTTTTGTAGAGATGGATAAGGTGCTCCATGAGATTGTTTTATTTCTTCATGAAGTTACAGATAACATGCATTAATGAGGCAGTGATTTTCCAGGCACATTTTCGTCACAAATTCAATTTACATTTCAAAAAGTGAAGCAGGATAAACGTTGCGCCAAACAATGCTTTAGTTTTGGCCAGTTTCTCCTAGGAGTATCTTCCTTTTCTAAACTTGAATGTTTTATAAAACTCTTACTGCAATTTTGTTATTGGCATTATCTTGTGAATTTGTGTTCATGTCCTGAAGCATGGCTGTGGTTAAAGTTTTTTTATTTTTATTTTTTATTCATGTCCTTGTTTACATACCCAAACTATTTCGGGTATGATTTGGGGGCAGGATGTAGGTTCTTGACTCTTTTGATTGTAGGCTTTGGATTTATGTTTTGGTCTTGTTATTCCCTGAAGGCAGGTATGATTGTTTGTTAGTATTGGGTTTGTGTGGTGCATAACATGCTATCACTATAATTGAGGATTATGGATTTTGAGGCAATAATGCCAAAGTTTATCGAGCGAGTCGCAAGTTTTACATCACTTTGTATTAGCCTTACTAAAGTGATTATTTTTTTCCAAGTAGAAAATTTTGATTTTAGTTAACCAAGCTTAGATAGTTATTATTGTCACACATGATGGGCATATAAAGGTATAATATGTGACTTGACTTGTTATGTGGCTTGTAAATAAATTGAATGTTGGAAAGTGAATAGAGAAAATTTATATAATTCCTGATTACCAAAGTTTCTTTTATTTCTATCACCATGATGTGCAGATAGGTGCATTTTTTGAGAGAGAGAGGGAGAGGGAGAATGCAGTCCTTCATAGTTATTTTTGGTAGAAAGTTTAGAGATGATGATTTACTTTGCTTCCATTTAATTTTCCCGAGGGCAACACATCTGGAAATTAGCAAGTGTCAAAAAGTTAACTTTGGTAGTTTGCATATTGCTCTATTCATTTTTCGTATCGAAAAAATTATACAAGCCACATGACAAAATCAAGCCATCATGTTATTTGTCTCTAGCCTGATATGCCCATCATGATTGTGTTGTAGGATGTGGAATCAAGACTCAATCAACAATCCCCTTTGGAGCCAATGGCAACTGCTGGACTCTTTCCTTCCCACTGGTGGTTTTGCTCATTCTTATGGCCTTGAGGCTGCCATCCAATCTTGCTTTGTGGTGGGCCCTGAGGATCTTCAGGCCTATACTCTCAGTGTCTTGGACAACACTGGCAGCCTAATTCTTCCATTTGTGTGTGCGGCAACTAAATCCCTGGACTTTGAAACATGGTTGAAGCTTGATAGGCTCCTTGAAGTCACCTTAACCAATGAAATCAGCCGAAAAGCCTCATCGTCACAAGGATCTGCACTCATAAGAGTTGCTGCTTCCGTGTTTCATGAGATTCCATACCTGAAGAAGATTAGAGAGTCAGCCTTGACCTCAAGGTCTGCTTCCTTCCACCATGCAACAGTTTTTGGGCTTGTATGTGGACTACTTGGCTTTGGAAGTGAGTTCTCTCAACGGGCATATATGCACTTGGCCTTGAGGGATGTTCTATCAGCTGCTACAAGGCTAAATCTTATTGGACCAATGGGGGCAGCTGTTCTGCAGCATAGAATGGCTGGGAATGCTGAGTTGTTGTTGAAGAGATGGATGGACCGTCTAGTTGAGGAGGCTTGCCAAACCACTCCTTTACTTGATGCTATCCAGGGATGCCATGGTTACTTGTTTTCAAGGCTGTTCTGCTCTTGAAGTGATTCTTGGGGATGTTTTCTGTTTTCTTTTGAGACTGTTTGTCGCTGTTCCATATTGTGAAATAAATATTTGATCATTGGTATGTTTTAGTTTGTTTTTTACCCTTTAGATGCCGTTCGTAGTCTGTTTTGCACTCATTACATTCGAATTCCTTGTTAGTTAATTATGACATTGATGATTTCCAAGGAAATTAACATCGTGTCCGTGATTAAAACACATTGGTCTTGAATTCACTTAATTTCTCTCATTTCACCGGCCAAGTTTTTTTCTTTCTTATTTGTTTTGGTGCAAGGCCTTCTTATGCTGGGTACATACTTTTTGCATCAAATTATCAAGTCAAATGACCAATGAATAATATGTTATCATTTGTAACATAGTTGGAACATGCTAATAAGAGGTTATCTTTTTGGTCCCTTCGCGTGAATCAATCCCCCTTTAAGGTGTTGGAGTTGCTATTATGGGGGCCACAAGGAGCTAAAAATAGAACCTTGGAGTGTATTTCTTTAGTAGAAATTTTTTGTTCAAGTTTATGGTTTACTTACAAATCTGGACTAATAAATGAATTATCTTAACTTGTAATGTAATCCAATTATTTTGTTGTTTATTATGATTAATCGCCAATCAGATGTTTTTTGTTTCCATTGGATTCTGAATTAAATTAAAAGTTTAAGCTGGTAATATTTAAGGTTTTATAATTTTGACCGATGACTCAACTTTTACCTGTAGGGGCATGCGATAATTTTAGGGTACTAAATCTCGCCATGTCAGTACTCATATTTTTTTTGTCTTTAATCATGCTATCGTATGAAAAAAAAACATTGTTTCAATTTGTAATGCATTATTAGTTTTTGGTTCAGTCCATTAACTATATTAGGTTGTACTTCAAACGGACATTTTTAATTAATTGTGCTTGTGGCATCTGATCCACCAGCCTGTAGTGACCCCAAAATTGTAAGCATACTTCCCCATGGTGCTAGAAAACATTCAATGCACTTGGTTGATAGAACAAAGTATGCTCTGTTAGTTTTGTGTTGAATGTAATTGAGTAGATCAATCTGGTTGTACTGTTGACTCAAACCTCAATTTCATTGGTTGAGCTCACTAGGGGTTGCAAGGGGGGCCTCCCCTGCTTTAGGTTCAATTGCCTTGCACTTGAAAAATATATATTTTTTGCGCACAACCGTACAATCTTGCAGCTCTGTATACTCTAGCGCTGCAGCGTTGTATACTTGTGCTGGTTAGAGACAGATAGCGGCACTCCAAACCTCAACGTTATAGTGCTACCAGTTAATTGGAGATAGAATGTGGAGTGCCACGGCACTCCAAACTCCCAAGTTTCAACATTAAGAGTTAGGATGGGCTGTTTTATTTCTAGTTTTTCATGTCAAACTTGAAGGGTTGTGTCTCTTGTGGTGGTTAATGAGAGCCTCTTTGTCAGGTCTATGTTGAATGTATGGGTGAAGATCAAGTTAATTTATCCTAATTTTCTTAGTGGATTTCTTGATGTGGTCTGGTTCCATGGTATTTTTCTTATTTCAAGTTTTTCAACGTTAGATCCTGATGTTCTTTCTTTTTTGCTGCATTTTCTCTTTCTTTTTTGTTTTTGCTGTGTGATGTTTAACTTCCCAACATGCTCTCTAAGTCCTATGATGTAAGCCATGTAGGTGATAATTATTTGTAAGCCATGCTGCCTTAGTTATGAATTAGCATCCCTGGCAAATGATCAACAATGCCCATCTCGAAAGTGAAGTTTAAAATAGACAATATCTAATGTTAAGTTGGATTCCGTATAATCTTATCTGTAACTTGATTTGTACTTGCAGACATATACTCAGCTTATATTAACCCAATACTCATTTTATTATATTTTACTCAACTTTTGATTAGTTGGTTTTTTCTATTTTCATGATTGTCATGTTTACATGATTGCTATTATTTTGAATTATGCTTTCCATGACATGAACAATTTACATGACTGTTGTTATTGTTGACATTGTCTTTATCAATTGCTTCATTTTCTATTTTGCTGTTAATGAAGTGTTTTGATTTAGCTAGTGTAAAAGCAATTTAGAATCTTTTGCACAAGGTGATGTGTGGCTGTAGCGCTTTTCACAGCTCTCATGAGGACATCATTACTATCTTTAGTTCCTTGGGGAGGGGGTCTCGTTTGTAATATTGTAGGTTGTGGGGACAATCTTCTTGTCTTAGTTTGAGAGATAGGTGCTAATACTTTAGATGGTCAGATGAGTTTGTATTTTGATAATAATTGACATGTATGATATGAAAAGATCATCAATAGTTGGAGTAGCTAGCATATTTTCTTTGAGTCAAGCTGATCAAATGCAGGATAGAGAAAAGTTTTATTGTAAGAAATCTTTAAAATGAAGAGTGATGTCTCTAGGAAATAAAGGAAGTGATGGAGAGCTACAAATCCAATTATTAGAAGCAAGTATGGATGAAGAAGTTGGAATATATTAAATTGTCACCTGGCTTTACAAGCTGGAAACTTAAGCTGCATATTTTTACTTCTTTAGAATAATAAATTTAATTAGAAATTTAAAATTGGAATGAAAATTGAACTTGAAAATTCATTATTTTACTTGATCTAATTTGATGTGATAATTATAGTTCACATTCTCTAAAGGTACTTCTCATAATTAAAATACATTCATAAACATTATTAATATTATTTTAGCACCCAGCATCAATCTGTTGAGCACTTGTGTTGGCGTTAATGTCCAGGACATTAGAAAACCATGTTAGGGATATTATTTTGAGTGAACAGGGTGCTTTTGAAAGCTTTTGATTTGCTAAAACGAATTACGTCTGTTGTTGTTTTTGTTTGATGGGATGTTTTTCTTAGTGACGCGCTAGTTGATCTAATATGTTTTTTTTTTTTTAAATTTCTTTTGCAGATTGCAGCTTCATTTGATGATTGCGAAGTCCAGTGCATTGTTTTTTACTAAATAATGCAGACGAGGAAGAAAATGCTTTCCGGAGATGGTTCTGGGGAGCATTGTAGTGCTAGATTCTGTAGAAGGCCCCAGAAAATGACTGTGATTTCTCAAAGAAAAGTCAGCGATCTTATTTCATCTACAAAGAAAAAGAAACTTGGTTAGCTATCTTCAATTTCCTGTACTTCCTGTTGCATTGACAGCATTGTAATGCATGCAACACTAAATTGACATTGTTCCAGGAAAAAAATCTGCATATTTTGGAGCTCCTATTTGTTTGACTCTATTTACTTGTAACAACCAGTTTTAAACAGTTGATGCTTGCACGACTCATTTTTTGTGGTTAGTCTGGCCCCCAAAACCGAATTGTTTTATTATTAGCTTTTGTCTAACTGGCTTTATTTTTTAAGTCATTTAATCCAACAATGGTCGTCCTTGAGGTTTTGTTGCTTGGTACAGCGAAGCATTTCTCCTGTTTTTATCGTACCTTTAAAAGGTTCAATATGAGATTCCTTGGTTTCATTATTAAACCAATTATTTCCATTCATTGTTGCATGGAATAATGTTAATATAGTGGGGTGGAGTGGATCGTATTGTACTATTTCTCTATTAGTTGACCCTTATCTTTCTAACAAGATAATTTGAGGTACCAAAACTTTATGATCGGATCCAACTATACCTGGTGTTATGGGTTCAGTGGAAACCCAGGTTTGTAGTCTTAACTTCACTTCTTGATTCAAATCTTAATGGTTTGCTATAGATTTGGTACTTTTGTGCGATTGTTGTATCTGCTGTGTTCATTTTTGTTTAAGTTTGGCATTATGTAAAGTACTATTCAAATATTTTAGATATTAAAAATTCTGAGTTTTTAAGATATTTCCTGAGATAGATTTGGAAGAGAAAAATAACATTTATAAAAGTAATGCAAGTTAAGAAATTATAGCTAGGTTAAATGTTGGGTTGATATACTAATTAAATATGGTGTGGTGCATCTAAATTTAATGTACATAATGAATTAACAACAAAAATTTTAAAGAGTTTCTATCGAAGCAAAAATCGCTTTGTTAAACTGTAAAAATATCTCAGCTTTGAACATCATCTTTTTTCTTATTTTCCCCCTTGTTTTTGGGTGTCAATATTCTCTATGCCATTCAGTGACCTAAGAAGCAAACGAATTGTGAAATGCCAAGAGGGGCGTGGCTTAACATAGAAGGTGGTGTTTGATTCCTTTCAAATGCATCTGGGTAACCTAAATCTTTTCCACGCCACCCATTCAACACCAAGCCTTGAGTACTTTGAATCGCATCTTCATGCTTAATATAATTCCTCAAGTATGCAGCCAATACAGGCTCAAACAATTGACTGATAACAACCTGTCATGATGAAATGATCATTTCATTCAGTTTCTGCTGAAAGTGGAACACACTGAATGAAAATAAAAGCAAAAATACTACCAAAATAAGTCCCAAAATTCTCAAGTTGGACTGGTTTTGACTGATTTAAAAACATTTATTGGGTTAATTGCACCTTTTTTACCTGTCATAATGGATGACTGATACTATTAAATGTATGTCTATACGCATGGTTCTTAATTTAGGCTCTATTGTCCTTCTTTCTGTCATTCTACAAACATTTTGTATGTCTTTCGGAATTGAAATTTGCTTTTGTTTAATATGCAATTGTGTATTTTGTATTATATGTTATTATGAAAAAAATTCTAAAAATCTTTGATATGGATATTGTCACATGTTGTGGTTTATAGTTAAAACATGTTTGCTGCGGCTTAGCAAATAACTTAAAAATATGTATTGACTTTCCTAACCCGTATTCTTGTAGATGAAATTCATTCAATGAGTGATCCCGAACTACGGAGGAATTTGGGTGCTGCTGGGGATTTCTTAAAGGATGAGGCTGATGGTATTTCCATGGCTTCTGTGGAACATATGGTGACCAATTTCTTTTCTTTTTTATTCTTATGATCATCAATAACTTTATGGCTTATTCTTTCATTTTAAGCTTAGTGTTGTTCCTTTGTGGGGTAAATTTTTTGACTTTTCAATGATGGTTAGAAGTTTTGGTGGTTTCGGTGATTTTAGATAAAATTTGGCTGATATTAATCAAAAACTTATTATTTATTTAGAATTTTTTGGTGTTTTTGATAGATTTGATGAAGCTTAAGAGTTTCCGTGAAATTTAGGACTGGACTTAGGGAGTTGACCTTGGAAGTCTTATATTCTGCTTGAAACTTCTTAAAACTTTTGACATGTTATAAAGAATTACTGGAGGCCCCACCAAATTACCCTTAATTATAATCCTCTTTGTTTCATATCTTAAAATATTAGATAATAAAAAATAATAAAAACTAAAAATCTAAAATTGAATACCCGAAACTGCTGAAACTACTGAACTGAATCTTTAAGATAGGACTGAAACAAAAACTGAAACCGAGTTTTAAAACCATGTTTTGAAATTTTATTGCTAGATAATTCTTTTTTATTGGATTCTAAATTTTAAAACCAGATTTCTTGTCTCGCATTCTTTTAACTGGTTTTGACTTTGCTTGGCAAATTGCTACGATTCAACATTTGATAATCAAAGTTGTTCTGCATTTTTGGGCGAAATATTCTCCCTATTATTGCTGACTATGGTATGCACCATTTCTGATTTAACATCATGTGAAGATCATTCTTCAAAATAGACCTTTTGTTACATCTATTTGTCTCTTTGGTTCAGTAGAATTGGTTCTAGTTGTTTTATTTATCTAAGTATTAGCATGCTGGAGGTCACATATATCTTCATGGTTGAAGTGCACTACAATAGCAACAAGCTTGCAGTTTTTCTGAGAGCTATTTGGTTCTTTGGTTAGATAAGATTGTTTCTAGTTGCTATATATGTCTGAGTATTTGCATGCTGGAAATCAAATGTTTTGTCATGGTTGAAGGGCCACTACAATAGCAGCAAGTCTGGAGTATTCATTTTAAGTGACTACATGATTTATTTTTGCTCTTTTATCTTATTGAAGAGTTAATATTACAGTGATTTGAATTTTGTTAGAGGTGTATATTAGTTGAGTCAAGTCGAGACCAAGCCATAATGAGATCGAGTTTGGCTTGTGAAAGTTTGTGTTTGCTGAAACTTGAGATCGATCTTGACTTGAGTTCAAAGCTTGAGCTCAAACTTGGCTTGCATGTGTTATGGTTGGCTCGAGCTCAACTTTTTTAACTCAAACTTGATTGCAATTCTCAAACTTTACTTGTTTTTAGGCTCATTTAGAACCTATGTTTTATGAAATTTGCAATGTAGTTTATAAACATTTTTTCCCAATTAACATATAATTTTGCATCTCATTGAACTTTACTTTTTCAACAATTAGCAAACATTATATAGAATATTGAAACAGTTTAAAATTAATTGGCATTAAAAACTAATTTCAGCTTGAGATTGATAAAGATAAACAAACCAGTTTAAGTGTGAGCTTGAACTCGTGCTTATGATTGGGCAAGCTCAACTCTGAGCTTGTCATCAAGTCTAGTTTGAACAGGGTCTCGAGTTGGCTTGGCTTATTTACACCTATGGGTGTAACTGAGTCAAGTTGACTCGTGAGCCAAGTTTGATAAACTAACAGGCCAAGTTTGGGCAAGCTTTGACTTGACTCGTCAATTTTTGAGCTGCCTAGTAAAAAAATAATTAATATTGAATACTCTTAAAATATATAAAAATTCAATCAGTTTTGTTATCCTTTTTATCATGTTCATTCTTTTAACAATGATTCACTCATGTTGACCTATAACCCACGACTAGATTGATTCCCTCTACTCACGATCTCTTTACGAACTGTCTATCACGTAACTCTTTCTCAGGATGCCATACATGCACGCGGAAGCCTAGCCTTCTTCCGATCCCTATCCCGCTTCGACCCCACACGTTGAGATGTCGCATTCGCTACACTCCAGTTGCCTGTTCCCGCTCAAGTGCTTCAGCCCGTCCCGACCTCCCTCTCACTCGATTTCTCTGTGTGAGGCAAACTTGTACACTTCCGACTCCCTGTCTAATGCTCTTCAACCCGCTCCAACCAACCCATTCAGTCGCCAGACTTGATTCCACCCTGTAGTTTAGCTGAAGGTGATCCCAACCCTTGCCTTCTCTGTTCATTCACACGTCTCCAACCCTCGGCGATCCAATTTCAATTGATCATAAAATCTCCAACCTTCGGCAGTGGGATTTTAAACAAGTGTTAAATACCTCGCGTCATCGATCTTGGATCCGTCCGGGATGATTTTAAAACTTGATGATCTCTCGCCGCTGATCTTTGATATGGGCGGAAAGAACCAAAGGCAATGGCCTCCCAATCTGCCCTCGTGGGGAGGGTGATGAGGACATCGACAGACGCTACCAACATGTTTATCGCCGACAAAACCGCAGATCGACGGCCACGATTCAGCGCCTCTACTTCTAGATGTCATTTTGTATTTTATTATTATTATTGTCTTGTTTTACTGTTTTCCCATTTTACCCCTGTGGGGAGTTATGTCTTATTGTAGCCCAAGGGGCATTTGAGTACTTTTATTTCTTTTTATTTGAAGACCTATTTATAGGGGTCTCATGCTTTGTAATAGATTAATGAATGTTTGAATGAAATTATGTTATTTGTCTTCTTCTTCTTCTTGCATGAGGGCTAGGGAAGGGAGATAGCTCAGGAGGAGCAAACCGCAATACCCACCAATCGTTGGAAGAGTCCTCGATTCGTGATTTCTTTTTCTATCATCTCAATTTTATTTGCATCCATATTGTTTTCTCCCCGCCACCACCCGCTGAAATTCTCCTAAGCCTTGTGCCGCCACCTCCATTGGACATCCACTGCCGGCCACATCCTCGGCTCCGACCGACCACCCCACTGGCGACCCCCACCTTAACCGTCCACCCCATCTCAATGCTATCTTGAATTTTGAAATTTTGAAATCTTTCCTAATTTGGAATCCCAAATTTGGAAAGTTTTTCATGACAAAATTCCAATTTCAATTTAATTTAAATTGAGATCTTGAATGAGTCGCCACATCACCATCCTAAATTAGAAAATTCTCCCCTCAATTTTCCCCTCCTCTTCCAAGCATGCCGCCGGCCTCCTCATGGAGAATTCCCCATTAAATGCGACATTAATGCCTTGACCGTTTTGGACTCCTAATTTGAACTCAATATTTTTCCCTCCCACTTTACTTTAAACTGAAATTACAATCAGTTTTAATTTGGCTAACCCTAATTTCTCCCTAAGCATGCCGCCGGCCACCTTTTAATGAGCCCCTTTAATGGCTCATTAAATCCCCTCTTAACTCCATCCTAATTTGAATTCTCTTTTCAAAATTTTCCCTCCAATCTTACTAAAATCTGAGAATTAACTTCAGATTTTAGTAAATTGCTTGCCACCTCACCCCACCTAACCTCTCTCACGCCTTGCACCCGCCTCCCCTCTCTTCCACCTTGGCCGACTCTCTCCCTCCTTGGAAATCCCGCCAGCCACTCCCCCTTTTCCTTGAAGAATCCTCCACGCCAAGCATGTATGGCGGATCCGGAGTTTGAGTGGGGGCTAGTATTCAACGCCGACGGAAGTATCAACGTCCTACGGTCGCCGTGCTTCGACGTAGGATTCGAAGACGAAACCACCGTGGAAGAGTACTTGGAGAGAGTCGTGCCAATCCTTGCAAGCATCTACGACCGACAACTTTCAAAGCACACTTGGAGCATCGACGGTCACCTACGACATCCATCCCCACCGACTACTTTTCCTCCGACGAGGTTCTTTGGCGCCCTTTCTCTAGTGGTAACTTCCTTCATCGCTTGGATCTTCTATCTCCGCCAAAAGTCCACCAATCTTTGAGTGATACGGCCCCAAGGTGAAATTCTCGTTGTTAAACGTTGGGTTTTGTTATTGTACTTTGCATATGAAATTCACCTAGAACTTTGAATGAACTATTTTGGTTAATCTCAAGTGCATCTCTTTGGCCTAAGCAAGTCAACATTTTAAATTCATAACTCTAATTTTTATGTGCTAGTTTTAAATTCGTAAGAAGCAATACTTTAATCGTTTCTTTTAAATTTTAAACAAACTCCTCGTAGTTTCACATCAGAGGGGATGTCGGGAGACTGCCAAAATTTGGAACAAAGAAAGACCCACATAGTTAATTTATAATAATGCTTTAATGCTTGTCATGAGTTTTAACTAGACTTAATTTACAATGGGGTTTTTCGGGCTATTCATCATGGTTGGTTAAGAAAGTTTAAAATTATTCATTCTTCCCATAAAAGTTAATCTAAACTATGGTTTGATCAGCCAAACAACTTAAAATACTATTGTGTTGAGTTCACAGTACAATTCTCTGGGATGGAAACTTATTTCATATAAAGAAGAAACCAAGTAAGCATCCGATATAAATGGTCATACCTCAACAATATCTACAACATATAATGATAGAGTAGATATTGGATCCGATCTTCTTAAAATGGTTTTCTCATAGTCCTCTGGGCAATTGAGATGAGTGGTGAAAAGCAGAATGAGAGGTTGCTTACCCATGCAACAAAGTTATACTTGGTATGGTTCTAGTAAGGGTGATAATGAAGACTAATCGGCTATTGATGCTTATGTTTTCCAGTCTAATAACGCTCCTCTTTGGGCTGCTTCAAGATCGATAGCTTTGAAAGTTGTGAGAGGTTCCTTAATTGAGAAAGTCCATCAATAGTTAAATTCGTGGATATATCTTGTCACAAGAATATACAATGATAAGGAAAGTGTTGAGTTTGAGTTTACTATTGGTCCAACACCAATTGATGATGGTATGGAAAGAAAATTGTCAATCAGTAGACAGCCCAAATGGATACAAATAAGACATTTTATAAATGCTTCAATGAAAGAGATTTCCTTAAACAGGTCTGGGATTATAGAGTGAATTGGGATCTTAAGGTGATTTAATCAATCTGAGGAAATTATTATCTGCCTAACTTGGAAATGTATATGGTAAACAGAAAGTATGAGATCTCTTTACTTGTAAATAATGCTTTTGAAGGCTCTAGCATTCAAAATGGTCGATCAAAGATCGTGATTCAAAGGTGCTTATTTGTGATTATGGTAGAGGTGTTAGAAAGGCCCTTGATGAAGAAGTTTGTGTGGACGATGAATGGAAGGACTTATGGCAAAAGGAAAATACTACATGAACGTAAACCAAATAGTGAGAATACTTCATGGATTTGCAAAAAGTATTCAAGTACATCTACAATAGCTCCAATTTATTGCCAAAAATACACCCTCATGTGCTTTGACTGTTACTTTGAACTCCAAATTCAAATGTCAGAGAATGCTACACCGGTCAAATATTCAAATTTCATTATTCTCCTTGAAAGGACTAGAGTCGATCCAATTTGGATAAAGAAGCAAATACCTAATCATAAATCAATTATTATATTCCCTGATGATGATCTTGTTGAAAGGGAATCTTAATTGGAGGGGATCCTATTTTCAAAATAATTGAACCCTAGTGTAAAATGAAAAAAATTAAAGTGGCCATAACGTCAAACCGATGATGGTCGTTTTGATTTTAAATCTCAATCGGATGGGTCTATGTTTAAATTCTATTAAATTTTCATAACCTAAAATTAATCTAAATTCTAAACATATAAATGAAAATTTTATTTGAAAACTTAAAACTAAAGCCATCCACCATATGTAATCATTTTTTGAGGGTGATAAATTTGTAATTAATCCAAACAAAGAGCGAATTTTGTGTCGGGTGCATCACTAAGATTCTTTCTTAAATAGTCTCTTGTCAGCAGGGACGTGACTTACGCCCACTGATTGGGCGGTTTTGCTGCAAAATGATATCACTATACGTTGGATACTTAGTGCCTATTTAATGATTAGCCTTAATCCAAAGTTCTCTCCTTTTATCAGGAGAGATAATTAACTATAAGAGCTTTGCGCCTATAGGAAAATAGAACTGAGATCATAAAGTCCTCGATTGATGGTGAAATCTCTAGGTAGTTTCTTATCTAAAACCTAATCTACCTTCTAAACATTTACCCGGAACTTAAATCCTTTAAAACTCTCCCTATCCACAAACAGAAGAGCGGCGCGGAGAGGTCGAGGCGCAAATTTTCAGTGCCCACAACTCAAGCTGTAAGTGACTTGAGATCGGGTTCAACTCGATCACACTTCTACTTACACTGCTAAATGCGGCATGTATGAGAAACCTTCATTTTCTAAATGAAAAGAGTTTTGCATACTTTTTTTAAGCTTGTGAGTAATTTCTAATCCAAAACGGAAATTTTAGCATAAGATGACTGCTGGTTGGTGGAAAAAAAGTCTAAATTAATGTGTTGCAATTATGATGACACTCTTATTGATCGTCATCCTGCCTTGCTCTGATTGTTCTGTGTTTTTAAACCACGTGCTTATATTTACTGTTTCACTTTCTTCTTCATCTTGTTAACTAAATTTTTATATGTTTTGCTATTTCAGAGTTATGATGAGAGGATTTCCCAGGAAATTCAAGACACAATATTTTCTCCTTCATTCTTTCATTCTAAACTTGCTAGTGGAAATATTCCCAGCAAAGGTAGTCGTACTTTCTTTCCTCATATCTGAGTATCTTGTTTATTTTTTCATTGTTTATTGGCAAGTTTAAACAATTTCTATTTATTTCTTGCTCTCATATATGCTTCTTGGTGGTACATTCAGCGTTTATGAAACTGTAATATGCAAGTAATCTCATTTCAGTTGCTATTAACCATATACTAGTCAAAATGGTTTGTGCTTCATATTAGGATTATGATGGTGGCCTTTTCTAGATAGGTTAATTTATTGTTTTTCAATAGAGAACGCACTTCTAGTTATTCCATATTGCTTCCTTAAATAGCAATAGTTCTAAGCATTGGCTTAATTATTGTGAAAAAGGTTCAGTTGCATGTAAGTTTAAAAGCAACTTTTTTGGGACTATGGTTTAGGGCATGTTTGAACTATTTGTGGTGGTTTGTGAAATTAATTGTGGGAAATGTAAATTTTTTTTAAAGTTATTGGGTGTATTATAGCTTTTTTCCTCCTAAGATATCGAATAATATTTTCTTTAATTACCATACTATTAGAGGTGTCAATTTCGGGTCACGAGTCGGGTTCAGGTCGAACTCGAAAATGACCCGGTATTGTTTGACCCGACCCGACTCTGACCCGCCAAGTTGTTGTTCGACTTCGCTTCACTATTCCGCCTGTTAGCATTGTTCGCTCCTTTCGGTTGGATTGGAAGTAACGAGGGGAGCTCACAGTCGCTCACTATGAAGGTGTCGCCGCTCCTTTGTTGCTGTTTGACTTCGCTCCTTGCCTCGACGTCGTTCCCTTCCACTTTTCCAGTCGGAATTGGAAGTTATAACTGAGCAAAAGAGGGGAGCTCACAGCCGCTCACTGTGATGGAGTCGCCGGTCCTTCGTTGCTATTCAACTTCGCTCCTTGCCTCGACGACGTTCCCTTCCACTTTTCCAGTCGGAATTGGAAGTTAGAACGGAGCAAAGAGGGGAGCTCACAGCCGCTCACTGTGAAGGAGTCGCTGCTCCTTCATTGTTGTTCGGCACTATAGTAGATCTAGATTTGAAAAATTTCTCACCATTGGAATTTCTGAATAATAACGATAAAATTGTAATAAAATAAAAGTGTGATATTAGTAGGTAAAATAAAGCTTTCCCAAATGCATCTTAAAATGGCTTCTAACAAAAGCATTTTCGTTGAATTAGTTTTGTTTTATAAAAAAAAGTAAATTATTATTTTAATTAGGGTTAAACCATGCATAATCAATATTTCAGATGCATCCCATGTAATATTAAACAAAAGGGGTTGCTAATGTAGTTTTAGGGAATGATTTGGATTAGTATGCGATTTGATATCTAATGATAAGGGAGTCAATTGTGATTTTATAAAATATGGTGGATATAGGTGTGATATTGTTTATTTTTAGGGAGTTAAGTATTATAAATCCTTTAATTAATTTAATATTTTTAAAATTAGTTCATCGTATTATAATGATAATATGTTTTTAATACTATTTATTTTAGTCATTCTGTGACTCATATACATATCAATAATTTTCTTCCAAATAACTATAATTCTTACAACGTTGTAGAACGATATTACCAAACAAAGTGTACTCCACCGTTTGACATCACAACACCTAAAACCAAAACAATGTTGAAGGAACTCCTTTTTCTCTCTTCACATTGTTGGATGTGATATTAAACCACACACACACACTCTCTATATATTCTTATTTTTTATTATGTGTATGTATTTATATATGGATGGATGGATCGAGATTGTAGTTTTTGTCCCTATATTTAAATAGGGAGTTTACTATCTATTTATATGGAAATGCTCCTTCTTCATATGATTTATGTTGTGGGAAAATTGATGTCTTGTAATGCCCTTCATGGGAAGTAATGGCACAAAAGGTGTTAGCTATTGTCACGACCCAGCCCGGCTAGTCTGAATTAGCTGGGCGGGAACAGACATTCGCACGGAGAACACTTATAACTTTCATATCATAAAAAAATTATTTCACAAATGACATAAACATAAATATCATCCAAGAATAATGTAAGAAAGACTCACTAAACATCCAAACTGAAATATCCCAAATACATTAAAACATAAATTCACTAAAACATAAATTGAAAACATCACAATAGTACATAATACATCAACTGACACATTACATAACATTCATATAAAAACCTGTCATCCTGGAATCCTCTACGACGGTCAGTAAACTATCGTTCTGCCATCACTCTATAGCAGATTCCTTGAAAAGCATTCCCAAAAATAGGGTGAGCTAACGCTCAACATGTAACATGTATTTATCATAATTCATGAAATAAATAAATACAGGACGTTAAGCATGAAATTAAAATAAATAAAAGATCATATTAGACATTTCATAGGCACATGCTATATAAAATTTTCATAATCAGTTTTCTTGAATTTTTTCTTTAAATGTTTTTTTTTTCATAAAATTTTCCTTTCTTTATAGTCTTTTATTAAATACATAAAATACATAATCATAATATAAAACACCCGTCCCGTAAGTACTAGAGTTTTGTACTGATCAGGTACACCGTCAAGTTTTGGCTAATCCTTTACCATTTAGCTCCGAAAAACCCTTTTACCATTGACTCCATAGAGCCCCTTTACCATTGACTCCGAAGAGTCCCTTTACCATTTGGTATTCCGGATTATCATGCACATGCAAATCATAATATATATCATAGGGCTTAAGTTAATCAAAGATTCATATAAATTTGCCTAAATTATTTCAGTTAAAGAAATTTCTGCCCATTTAATCTGTCGTCGGAGCCGTACCCCAAGTTCTATGTCGCCTTCCTCTCTCCTTCTCCTGCTCTCCCTTCGGTTTGGTCGAACAAAACTGAGCGGAAGAAAATGAAGGGATCGAATTTAAGGCTTCAGTTGATTAGGGAGAGGGCTAAATGTCCTAATTTCCCTCACTTGAATTATCTCTGCTTTAATAGTTATTAAGGATAGTTTAGGTATATTAAAACTTCTAAAATTTTTAACTTTCAATTTAAGCGAAATTCAATATAGGTTCTTTATATTAATTTGTTCAAAATTTTGTGTAGAAATTTATAAAATCAAATTCGTCGAAATCCGAAAACTTTGAAATTTCACTTAAATTTCGTCGTGATGCATCTAGATGCGTGCAACGCTTACGATCATCGATTTCGGGTTTTACAGCTATGCTGCACTTCCAGCAAAGGTGTTATAGCATTTGAACCTTTTTGTTTTTTTGTTTACAATAATCGGTTGTTGTTTTTTGTCCTTATAGCTTCATCAGCACACAAATGAATGAGATATAATTGCTTGTTCCAATATGTAGCAATGATATAAAAGAACTACTGGCTAGGTGGAGATTTCACTATGTTGAATAACTGGTGTATGGTAAGAGTGGCGACTCACACACAACATAGGCGCAATATTTTAATCACATGTATACAAATATATGTAAAAGAATAAAGCTTCATACAACATAATTGCAAATTTCTATCGGCCCAATCCCTTTACCACAACCATGGGTCCCCCATAAAATTCTCATAATTAAATTGCACCATATATCTCACGTCACCAGCTTTTTGGCCCAAACTCAATAAAATTCCCATCACAAATCCTAACACAATATGCATCATATCTTGAGAGTTTGGCTTTTGCTGTTTCACATTTATGTCATAATTTCAATACCATACTTGTTTTTACGTCCCCTTCTTTTCCGTATCACCCCTTTGTTCTTTTGATTGGGTTCTTTTGATTAACTTTTCTTGTATTTTTAGTAGTTCTAGCACGGGCAACAAAGGAGTCCATCTTAGCATATAATATCATCTTCTACGCTTTTCATTTTTAAGTTTTATTTTTTATTCCTTTTCCTTTTTCGATTACAATTCTGTGGCTATTTTCATTGTTTATTTTTTTTGTTTGCTATTTGTTGCAAAATACTTATGTGCTGGTGGACTGTGCATTCTTAACTTTCAGCTTTATTCTATCTTTTCTTTTATTTCATGAAACTTCCTGGCTTTTCTCTATCTTCACTCATTGTTTTCTGTGGTAGTATTGCACTCATTATTACACCCTTGTTTTTTACTCATCTAAATATGCATGTTTTTACAGTTGATTTTACTGCTGCTTTCACCAAGAAGGAGCTGGCAGTTCATCGTGATCTCAGCATTACTGATTTAAGAACTGGCGAATTAGATTCTTATGACAAATCAGGATATGAAAATTTTACTGAAGATAAAAGGGATGTTGAGATGATGGAGACAGATAAGGAGAATGTTGAGTTAGTTGTAAATTCATCAAATAACATTGATGTGAATAAAAAAAATGGTCATATGCTCCACGTTGAATCTCATCCTGTAAAGACATTGTCTGAGGATGAATTTAGCAGTGTAAGGGATCTATCACCTGAAGTTTCTGCAATATATATTGCAATGCAGCATTCCAAATTAGAATGTGTTGATGAAAAAAGTCAAGATTCAATTTCTGAGGAAGTTTGTGTGGAACCTGATGATGATGAGTTTGATGATTTTGATCCATATTTATTCATCAAGGATTTGCCAGACTTATCAGTGGTTGTGCCTAAATTTCGGTCTATGCTTCTCCCAAAGCAAACACGGAGTTGTCCTTCAACTACCCTTGTTCTAGATTTGGATGGTACTACACCGAGCTTATGATCTTGTTTATTACTGTGAACGAGCTTCCTTTAATAATTCCTTTGTGATGATGGTCTGATGGATTTCTTATTTCATGTTTTTTTAATGAAAATTTATTTATTATCTCTTATGTATTACCTATAAAAGCTTTTGTTTACACCGCGCATCATGCCACTTATAAAAACACAAAGTGCTTTGGGCTATGATTGATGCATTGCTTTGAGTGTATTTACCATCTAGGTTAGTATAGCAGTGCTGACCTTTTTACATTTTTTTAAAAGTATCAATCTTGGTAGACTGTCTTGTCTTTTAAAATGATGGAAATGGTCAATATCTGTTATTATTTTTATATTTAGTGAGTCAAATGTTGTCATGCAACTGCTTCTTAAAGGGCTTGCTATGTAAAACTAGGAGACAATTATCTAGAATGTCTCTTTATGAACTTCAGATTAATTGTTTTTATTTATTTACTCAGACTTGTTATAACGGACTTACTGATTACCACATATTTACTAAGGTTGCAAGTTTTGCCATCTTTCTGAGGTGAGTTGAATCTTTTTAATCTATTTGGAAAGAAAATCAAAGGGTCATACAGCACATTAGATGCTACTTATTTGAAGACATGTAGTGTTATTATAGCTTTTGGTTGTATTCATTGTCTTGTTGCCCTTGCCCTGTATCTTATATTGCAATTCTTTTATTTTTTGCACATTTTTCCCGTTTCTGATCTTGCCATTCTTTTATTTTTTGTACAATAATTTATAATTTTGTTAATATATTAGTTTGTTCAATGTTAAATTCCAGAAACTTTAGTGCATTCCACACTTGAGCCGTGCAAAGATGCAGATTTTGCATTCCCTGTTAACTTTAATCTTAAAGAGCACACAATTTATGTGCGGTGTCGCCCATTTCTGAAGAACTTTTTGGAGAGAGTTGCCGCCTTATTCGAGACGATCATATTTACAGCCAGCCAAAGTATATATGCTGAACAACTTCTCAACATGATTGATCCAAAAAGGAAGCTGTTCCGCCACCGAGTTTTTCGTGAATCGTGTGTTTACGTGGAGGGAAATTATTTGAAGGATCTCTCTGTTCTTGGACGTGATCTGGCACAAGTTATTATCATTGATAACTCTCCTCAGGTACTTAACAAATTTGTTTAACTAAATGTTTTCTTCGTTATTAATTGTTTTGTTGTGCTGTAGTTAAGTTCAGATGCCAGCAATGACATATTAATTGTCGTGTAGTGCTGTAGTTAAGGTCAGATACCAGCAATGACAGAGAATTACTAGAAAAAATAAAAATAGGATTTTTACATGCATAAAAATCTTATTTATGTATTTAGCATCTAAAACTTTCTATTCACTCAACTACTACCATGACCCGATCCAAGATCTTGATATACCAAGTCAGAAATAGATGATCGGTCAAAAATGTAAATGCTTTTTTTTTAGATGTTCTTATCTTCCAGTCACTCAGTTTTCAGCAGCTGCCACCTATGCACACACCTGCCTCTTTGCATTGTAGGCTTGTGTGTGACAGGAAGTTAATTGGGAGTGGGAGGAAGGCCATATGTTTGATGTTATTTAAGAACTGAGAGTCATGTGAGTAAATATTACAATTTATTTATCATATGTAGATATGATAGTTTTAAGTTTTATATATGTACATCCTCCACAAAAATATTGAATATTGGCCTCTACTACAGTCTTGTTGTCAAAATGGAGAAAATACATAGATATACGGTGAATGTATTGAAGCATGTAGGTTCCATCTAATAGTGATGAAATGATAAAATATCGAATAATGGATGTCAAAAACAAGTTAAAAAGCAACATACGTTTTTTCCAGTATAGGAATCATTATCCGCTAAATTCGACACAGGAAGTTAATTGGGAGTGCGAGGAGGGCCATATGTTTGATGTTATTTAAGAACTGAGAGTAATGTGAGTAAATATTACAATTTATTTATCATATGTAGATATGATAGTTTTAAGTTTTATATATGTACATCCTCCACAAAAATATTGAATATTGGCCTCTACTACAGTCTTGTTGTCAAAATGGAGAAAATACATAGATATACGGTGAATGTATTGAAGCATGTAGGTTCCATCTAATAGTGATGAAATGATAAAATATCGAATAATGGATGTCAAAAACAAGTTAAAAATCAACATACGTTTTTTCCAGTATAGGAATCATTATCTGCTAAAGTCGACAATTTCAAAGATCTATGAAATAGTTGTTTGGATTGACTTTTGTATTATCATCGTCTTAGTTGGGTCAACTTTTTTGCTGCTTCTTAAAGCAGCTTTCTAGTAAAAAGGAAAATTTTTGTACTAAAAAATTGCTTTGAGAAGTAATAAGAAAGCCGTCCCAAATGAAGCCTTAATTTTAAGGAGTTTCTTTTTCCATTGAAATATACAACATGGTTTCCCTCTCTTCTTCATAATAAAAAAGATAAAAACTTAGATCATGTCTCATTTGGTTGCTTGTAAATTGAAAACATATTTGATTTTGAGAAAATTGAAATCATCACTTCTGATGGCCAGCATTCAATCAAATAATAAATTTAACATATTTAACCGTTCTTTTGAAACCCAAGGCGTAGCAACCAAATGAGCCCTTATTGTTGATTTTAAATGTTATATGATAATTTTTCTACAATATATCCAAAAATTTCAGGCATTTGGCTTCCAGTTAGACAACGGTATCCCTATTGAGAGCTGGTTTGATGACCGTTCTGATCGTGAACTGCTCGCTCTGCTCCCATTCTTAGAGAGCTTAGTCGGGGTTGAAGATGTCCGGCCGTTCATAGCGAAAAGATTCAATCTTCGTCAAAAGGTTGAAGCTGCTTCTCTTGCTCTTGATTTCAGAAGGTAAAGAAGGTTCGATGAACAGTTTTGGGAACCTCTACTTGGGTTATTTGTATTACTACCTGTAAGTTTGTAGAATTTACCTTTGGCAGCATAGTTTGGTTTTATCCCCTGAACTTCCAATTTTCTTGCGGAAGATATAAAAAGATTTGTCGAGTCTTCTTATTGTGTGGTTTGCAAATGCTTTGTATTTATTTATTTTTATTGTCTTTGATATCAAATTAGGAGGAATGGTTGGATTGTTTTCATATACTTGTGAAGTTTTGAGTCTGCAATAGCCTATGTTTGCATGTTTTTTATTTATGATAGGGGCTGCTTGGTTGAATGTTTTTGGGTGTAGACTTCTGATCTGAAGATAAAAAATTTATAGTAAAATTGTAATGATCTGAAGATTGTATTTTTGATCATTTTTTGTGCATTTCAAAATTATCTGATTCAATCATTTTTTAAATAAGATGTTAGTGAGACCTTCAATGCATAGTATTAAGTTAAGCAGAATGTTGGCTATTTAAAGAGAAGCATAGTATTAAGTTAAGTGTTGTTGAGATAAGGATGATCAGATGAATTAGTGACTTTACTTTTAGAGAGAGGATACAAAATTGGCTTATTCTTGAAAATGTTGGAATAGCTCCAGCAAAAGATGAGATTAGAGTCTCCTTGTCGCATAAAATGGCGGCCTTTTGATGACCTGGTTAAGAAACCAGATGTATTATATTTGATTTATGTAAAGGTAGAGGTAGACCTAAAACAACTCCGTTAGATAATATCATAAATGATTTTATTAGATTTATATGAGAATTTGATTTTTAATGTGATAATGGAGAAAAATGATTCATGCAGCCAACCCAATATAGGGGAATAAAGGCTATTTTTCACTTGAAGAAAATAAGGGGAAGCTTTCCATAAGTGTTTTTTTTTATTAAATTTGTGGATTAAATCTTAGAGAATTATGTATTTTTTTTTTGTGATTTTAAAGTAATAAAGGTTTTTATTTTGAAATATATGATACAATAGACAAATTTGAAAATGTTTATATAGAATTGAGGGAATAAATATTATACGTAAAAGTAACGATCTGTTGCATTTTAAAGGAAAGTTTTATAGAAATTGAGTCCTGGCTGAGTTTTTTTCGGCCACTTTACTGATATTTCTGGATGGTGAAAGTATGATATATCAGGAATAGTAAAATGGTTGAAACAATAATATAGCGAGGATCCTACCGAGCTTAGTGGGTTGGTGGGTGGGCATAGTTGGAAACTGTGAATCTATGTTGAATCTTCTCTCATATGGTGCGACTCCTTAAGTGGGGTTCTACAATTGTGAGGTTAGTTGTTGGTAGGCTCCCCGATAGATTAGTTATCCTGTCAAATATTTGCTAAGGGGTGAGAGCGGTAGATGTCTCCGTTTCATAATAATAATAATAATAATATGATAGCAAGCTGCGAATTTATTGAAGAAAAATTGTATCACAGATCTTTTATAATTGAAACCATATAGAAAAAATTATATTTGGCGTAATAGTCCAGATTTTTTATTAATATTATATATGATTATATGCCTAAATATTTAAAAATTGATGAATTTGCATACTATATATATATTTTTAAATTTTGTATAAAAAACTGCTGTAAGAAGCAGTAAGATTGTCGTCCCTAACGAAGTCTAAAGTACTTTAGCTTTTTAATAAATTGAGAAAAATTACGTGTTCATTGAGCTCTTTAACCCGTGTTTTCTAGTACCTATTTAAAAAGTTATTATTATTATTTAAAATAGTATTACATGTATAAAATATTTTTATTTTACAAGTCTCAAAATAAACTTTAAAATTTTTAGATTTTCTTACGTCTTGGAATATTCATGGCAATAGAGAAATATAAAGTTTAACGTCTTAGCTTCGTACGAAGATCAAGTTGACAACAAGATAAAAAAGAAGGTATAGCGTCCATAAGAGACCAGAAAGTTGTTACATAGAAACCCTTGAAAGGGGTAAATCCACGAAGCTTGGTCTAGTTTGAATGAATCCACTAGTGCTTGCAGTCGATTACAAATGAGGCCATTTTTTGGAGGGAAGACCTTGGCTTGATGTAGCAAATATATATATCTTATAGAATGCATTACCTGGTGAAATTTGGAAGAATATGTCCCAAAAAAAATTTGGAAGAATCAATATTAACATGGTTGTTTGGTCGTCAGAACCATAATTGGCAAGCAACTGAGATCGAAAAATTGGAGTCTAGCGACGGAGGTCCGAAGGACCGTAGTCGACGGGCAAAGGATCAGAAAGATCGTGGTTGGGTGACGGTAGTTAGAAAGATGGTTATATGGCGACGAAGGTTGGAAGGACAGTAGTCGGCGGGTGATAGTGGTCGAAAGACCGTCGTGTAGCGACGGAGGTCGGAAGGACCTTAGTCGGCAGACGACAGTGGTCAGAAAGACCGTCGTGTAGCGATAGAGGTTGGAAGGACCGTACTAGGCGGACGATAGTAGTCAAAAGACTATTTTTTAACGATGGAGGTCGGAAGGAGTATAGTCAGCGACTTGTTGGAAAGTTCAGAGTCGGTCGTTTGTCAGGTAGAAGTCTATCGTCAGTTGATGTCCACATGCAAGTCCAACTATAATTGGAAGCCGAGTAAAAGTCCGGAGTTAGTTGGTGGCCGTACAGAAGTTCGTGTCAATCGGTGGCCAGGTGGAAGTTCTATGATAGTCCGGCGACGTTCGGTTGTCCAACGGTGGTCGAGGAGATATATGGTGGTAAGAGAGCTCTAGTTTCTCTCTCTTCCTTACTTCCATCCCTTGGTCCTCCCTTCCTCTATTCTCCCCTTCCTTCCCCTTTCCATGAAGAATGTGGGGTATATTTATAGTTTTCTAATAGTGACATGATCAGTAAATAGTGAGAATATTAAGGGTATATTGAGAGTGGTTTGAATGGACGTCCGATATTGTTGATCATGGACCATTTATCGAGTATTTAGTGCCTAAATGATGTCATAATTCTTATTGTCGAGCCGCTCTATTCGACTATAAGCATGTCACGTTTGGAATTCATTTGGTAATCCAAATTGTGGCTTGAACCTTCCAAATGTGCTTCGGGTGTTCGATTTGGACCCATTTGGGCTTGGATTAGGTCGAATTTGGGGTTGTTGGGTTCGTCTTTTTGAGACGTTCAGTTCGACTATAAGTTTGTTATAATCGGAGTAATTTTGGAAGTTTTCAACTTGATTTTGCCTTGAGATTTGTGCCCGATCAAGATAATTTTTTGATGATATATCAGATCTATTTTATATACATTTTATCAGCATATTCTTACATAAATTTTACATATTAATTGAATGAAAATATATACACATAAATTTTATGGAGTAATTCCAACCAAGATCATTTATACTGAAGCACCAGAATTTATTTTATTTTTTATTCAAATTACTTTTTATTTAAAAAAATATTTTTTAACAGTTTAAAATAAACTGTAAATGATTGATCAACGCGGTGCCACGCATTTCCCGCACCCGCGCCTATTCTCAGTTAGTCTGAGCACCTCTTCATGTTAAAGCCGTGGAAAATGGCGTCAGAGGCGATCAAGCCTGGTTGCGAGGGCTTCTGGTTCGGTCACTCCGTCATCGCCCGCCGGCCGGCCGTCATTCAGCCATCTCAGTGGCGGCCGCAGCGTTCTGCCTTTACCTTAGCGGCCAAACGAAGCCCCAAACGCCTCAAATACGCCACCCAGCGCCTCTTCAAGGTTGAATTCTTCTTTTCCTTATTTAAAATTTCTTTAATATTGAAATAATTTAACATGAAATGGTAGAAGGGGGAGGAAATGGTCTATGTGGAGATGGACCCAATGGTAGCAGATACGTGGAAGTTGGAACCTGTGGTGCAGCTGATCAAGGACGGAGCGGTCGGTGTAATCCCTACGGATACTGTGTAACGCTTCTCCTATTCTTAAGTTATCTCACTACTATGAAATCTTGATTTTATCATAGCCAGCCCTGTGGCAAGTATATGCCTTGGATAAATGGACTGGATGCTCTACAAACGGCTGAGTGGTTTATAAATGAATTAGGGTCCATTTCATATTTTATTCTAATTTTTTAAAAGAAATGCGAAATGAGGAAGAGAAGAGAATTTCTGGATCTCCTTTACGAACATTCCTTCATCACATCAATTTGCTCCATGATCTATATCAGTTTTATAAGAGAATCATTTTCCGTGAAATTTTTTTGGATCCAGATTTGTATGTGGATGATACCCGACCTTACTAGTAGGTAATCTCTATGTGAGAATTGGGGAGTCGAACTAGTTTGAATGAGTATGAAGAGTGAGGTTTTGTTTATGTTATAAGTAGGCACTGTGGAATGTAAAGAGAAAGTGACATGTCAAATGATTTTAGAGGGTCTTAAAGTATCAAAGAAGATCCAAAAGGATCCAAAGTATGCCTTTTTACCATTATTTTTAGGGTTTGAAGGGCGATATGAAATGTTACACCCTAGAAAGTTAAAAATAGTACAAAGTACAACAAATACGTCATTTGTTATAGTATGTCATAAACACATGATTGAGCTGATTGACCTCCACGTGAATTTCTACTTATGACCCATGGTCTTGGGGTTAGTCCTTTATGTAAGTCTTCATGGGCGAGTATATTTGGTGAGTCCTTGGGGTCCTATATATAGGGCTAGTTTGTGAAGGAAAATCCTCAGGTCATGATGGTAAGTCCATTGGGATAGGGTTGAGACTCCTGGCAGACAAAGGCAATTTCTCCTTAGTGGAAATGATCACAAGATGAGGATTGCTTAAACCTGGGAAATATTAGTTGCTGCCCTTGAGGTGTATGCATTTCATGAAGTTGGATTGAGGATGCCATTGGTAGTTGAGTGGCCTTAAATCATGAAGGACCATGGATGCACGAGTCCTACTGAGATGAGTGACATGTATGAGTCGGGTTAGTCTAGACAAGTCCTTCTGTAAGGCCCGCTGAAAGCGATAACTCCTCTATTCTGTTTGCCTGGGTGAGTCCTCACATTACGACCTCACTTGGATAATGGCAATGATTCTGCGGAGTAGTATCGACCACTCTGTTGAATGATTGCTTTTCCTTATAGCAAGTGCTCATCTTGAGAGATGTGACTATTCGAGTGAAGTCCCTTAGTGGTGACTTGTTGAGCACATGTGGAATACTTATATGAGCATGTATCAGTATACATTTAGTTTCTCGATTCACTCGGTCATTCAAAATGCAAGTTCTAAAAAAGATAAATGAATTAAAGGCGAGCATTTGTTGCAATCACCAAATGGTGAAAATGGAGAAAAAGCATACGGTATTGCCCTATCTAAGGTTTGGGCATCATGTAGATTTCTCATTATGATCTTTATTTGACATATATGTTGTTGCTTGAGGGTTACGATGCTGCTAAGTTATCTTCTCCAACATCCTACAATATTGATTGACTCGCCCAAAATGGTAGATTTGGATATTGTTAAGTCATTTGAGTCAAGCCTCTATAGGTTGAAAAAACCATCATGCATAAATGCAAGTTGGAGGAGGGCAAGGAGAACAAGTTTGGTTTGTCGATGACTAATAAGGAAGCGGTGTCCACATAAGCGAGTGTGTCCGTTGGCCCAAGAATGAGTGAACTATTAGCACTTAGGTCCAAGGAGGCGGTGAATGTAGAGGCAAGCAAGGTGCTGCTGACTTGGTGGAAACCATGAAAATTAGTCATCTCCTCTTGTTTGGATGATGTCCCTTTGACTGTGAGGCGAGTGAGGAAACCTCCCACTAAGTAACCAGTTGCAGGTGCAACCACTATAATGGTGGTCCCTTCTGAGATTGTGCCTACTCCCACGATGATTGAGCCCATTGTTGCTCGAGATGAAGGTAAGTAGAAGTATTTCTAAACTTTGAACGAGTTATGGCTGGTTCAAGTCATTGTTGACCACTAGTGAGCCAATATTATGCCTAACCTCAAGCGAGTAATTGGGGCACCTGCCGAGTAAGTATAAAGCTTTAACTTTGACACAGTGGGCACTCAGCTTGTATACAAGGACGATAATCTTGCATAATAGGCTACTAGTGATTCCTTTAAGTTTTTTAAGCAAGAATTTTTCTGTTGTTGTGTCACGATCCGGCCCGATTAGCTCATATATACGAGGCGGGAACGAAATCGGGCGATCAGATCAGTCACTAATCATCTTTCATGTAAACAAAATTTTTCTAAAAAGACTTCAAGAACAAAAAGCGCCTCTAAATATTTTTATTTTCATTTCTAAAAGTGTTCACAATATATACAAGATGACTAACTTCTAATTAATCATGCTATGATAAGTCATCCAAAAATAAGGAACTACCACTAGTAAAAAAAAAAACACAATAAAAGAACCTGTCACCCGGGGTACGACAACTGTAAGTAAACCTCGGGTTGTCAGCCATCTCTTCTACCAGGTTCTCCTGAAAAGTATCCTACACTAGGGAATGAGCTAATGCTCAATAGAAATTTCTAATCCTAAACATGCTCATATGACTTAAAAATGAAATGTACATTTTTAAACTAAAGGGGGACATGCTTTTCTTTTCCAACTCATGCTATCTTGTTTATGTCATATGAATGAGAGATTATTTAGGTACCATATGCATGTGTCATTTGATATATATGAAATGAATGTCATCTCAAAATGCTTACTTATTATTATATACAACCATCCCGGAGTACCAAGGGTATACTGATCAGGTACACAAACATATTTTGGCCATTTATTTCTTTTTCCTTATTTGCCCCAAGGGCCATAATTTTTTCGTATTGTTCATATGTGCTTTTGCACCGTACTTGGTACTCCGCAATCAATCATGCACAATCAATTCTATATCTTTTCATATGAACATACTTTCCTTCCTTTTCATGTAAAATGTTTGACATGAAATCTTTAAACATTAATTTGATAACATGTAATGATTACACTTAAGCACTTAAGCATGAAAGAAACAATGAAATATATTTCATGTGTAACAACTATTCCATTTTTATAAAACATGTCATAAGGGATATAAACATGAAATAACAAATAAACATGTAAGAAAAAGATTTTCTACCTCCAAAAATTATGAAGTCCTCTTCTCCTCTTTAATTACTCTTCTTCTTGCCACCACCTAAAAAAAATAATTTAACTTAAACTTTTTTGCCAAAATAAAATTTCTAATTCTTTTATAAGCTTCCTATAATCTTCCTACACCTATTATTAAGGTACAACATCATTAATCTCATACCAAATTTTGATTTTTTTATTAATGAATTTCGGATTTAAATAAAATATAAATTATAGGAACCTAAAAATTCATCTAATTTATTCTAAGTCCTTCTAAAACATTCCTCTTTCTTATACATATAAATAAATCATTATAATTTTCGAAATTAAATCATAAAATAATTAAGAAAATTATTTTTTTTGTCAAAATTGCAATTTCTTTTATTTAGTGACATATCTAAATCATTAGGAATAGTTTTAGTGAACATGCAACCCTAGAATCCCTAAGTTAGGAAAAACCATAAGCTTTCCTTAATTTTTAAAATTAAAATTCCTTAAGAAAATTTTGCATTTCTTAATCCAAAACTCTTCCCTCACATTCTTCTAACAATCCTTACAAAATAAAACATAAAAAGAGAAACCCTACATTTCAGATTTAATGTTTTTCTTAAGAAACCTTAACATGTAGGGTATAAAACAATAGATCCAAACAAACCCTAAAGGTTTTCTAAAGAAATTCCTAAGAAAATCAAACCCTAAAATTTCTTACTTCAATAAAACTCAAGAAAAATTACATATTCTTCAAAAAGAACTTACCTTTTATCTTCCTCAAGCCTTCCCCTACGTTTTTCCTAAAGAAGCTTGCCGGAAAACCCGCCGGTCGCCGGCCTTGGAGCTCCTTCCGCCGCTTCTTCCTCTCTCTCGTCGCCCTCTCTCGTATTCTGCCAAAAAATGAGGGATTTAGAGAAAATGTAAATGCCATTTTACGCATGTGCCCTTGCCATATGTTGACCTTGATTTTGCCTAGACTCTTGGTCAAAGAGTTTGACTTGGTCAAATTGACCAAGTCAGACCCCAAGACCCTCTCCAATGGGTTTAGTGAGTCGATATGAGTCAGTTGAGCCCAGGCCCAAGCCCAGGCCTTGGGTCAACCTGGTTGACCAGGTCAACCCAAGTTGCCCAAGTAGCCTTAATGGGTTATTTTTAATCCAAATCAAATCCAAGCCCATTCATGGCCCAATCCCTTGACTACATTGACCTAATTGACTGATTTGACCAAGTCAAACATTGACTTGGTCAAATCATGCCATTAATAGGTCATAATCACCTATTAGAGTCCATTAAGAGCCTAAGTAATGGGATTTAAGGCTCCAATTGATTGCCTTTCTATTCAAATAGCAAACCACGGCCAATTCAAAGGATTTTCCCTCCTAATTGGTGAGAGATCCGATCTTGGCCATTGGTTTGAGATCCTTGAGCCTTAAATGGAAAACTTAGGGCTCATGTTAAAGACTTTTTGCTCTTGCTCCTTCTCCAAGCCTCCAAACGCTCTGAGACTTCGTGTGAGCACCCTTGGAGAGTTCCCCCACCTTCCCCCACTCAAACCCGACAAGGTCAAGCAGTCAGCGGCGAGATCCCGGCAAACCCGAGGCCTAGGACGTTCAAAGCTTCGATCCTTCCAATCGGGAGCTCGTTCGATCGTTATTCCAAGAGGAGAATTGTTCGTGGGGATCCTACGAGTTCAACAAGTCCAAAATCTCCCGAATCCATCGAGTGGATTGAGGTAAAAGCTCTACCTTAGTCTAGGACACTTAGGGTTATTTAGCTTTTCATTAAGTGATTTTTAGAACTAAATATCTATCCCCCATCAATGCTCTTCACCTATAGAATCTATGTTTCAAGTTTCA